TTTTTTTTTGGAGAAACGAGTTACAAACATGATTATCATCACGTGAAAATTACATATCAGGCATCTGATTAAAAAAAAACTAAAAGCTAATAAAAACACTAATTGAAAAGTTGACGGAGGATCAGGATTGGAGAGTAGAGTTTGTACAAAAATATTGGTTTGTAAATGATTTAGAAAAAATAAATACTCATCATATCGTAAGAGAATAGTAAATTTGGATTAATTAAAGAGATGAATCCATAAATAATTATTTTTAGAGGACTGATCGACAAACTCAAAATCAAATATATACAGTAGTTAGTTATATATACTACATTTTCATCCATTGATCATACATATACACTTATCTTTGCTATTATTCTCATTTTTTGGTTAATTGTAGCTTCTTAGGCTAACTTACGTGTATTGACTAATCCTTAGAGCGACCATGAATGCGTGGAGTCATCGCAGGTAAACCTTCATAGCTACAAACGTCTTGACAACGCCTGGATCCGAACCCGGGAAAATGAGAGGATTTCCATTACATGCCCTAATTAAGTCTTCATCGGTGCGCCACAAGTGTCAACCATGGAAAAATCTTTGCATCTGTTAATGCTGATGCGATTTCTTTTCCTAGGGCTATATGTCCTTCAATCTACCTGGGCCACTAATGCTTTCTTCTTCAACCCAATCACTGAGCCATGACTGCGAGTGCTTTCTATTACTCGAGTTTAAGAACATGTACTAAAGTTTTAAGAGGTAACAAATTACCTGTTGTTTTTTCTTACAGTATTGTATTATAATGCCCTAATATGTAACCAAAAATATTGTTTGCATTTCCGTTGGTTGCACTGATTTTAAATTTGTTGATCAATTAAATAACACGTCTTACCTTGATAGTTGATTTCATTGCACACCGGGAGGTTCATAAATAAATCCTTTTATAAATTTTTACACATTGAAAGGAAGCGTAGATGGGGAAATTAAGGTTCATAAACATGAACCTATTCCATTTAGAATGTGGGACCCAATCCAATTATATAATAGAGTAACTATGGTTTTCGTCCCGATGGTTTCTGAAAGAGTGTAAGTTTCGTTCCTGTAGTTCTAAAATTGCGATTTTTGTCTCTATGATTTGTGTAACTTATTGTTATTTTCGTTTCTATGGCTTATAAGTTATTGCTGTTTTCGTCCTTGATACTAAATTTATTAAAAGTCCCCCATTTAACCTATGAGTATTTTTGTCTTTTTGATTTATTAAATATGTCTTTGGTTTCCTTTTTGGTATTTTAGTATTTTTGATAAAAAAAAATATTATATTATTTTGCTATTGTTTATGATAAAAAAATTTCAAATGTTTTTCATATAATTTGTTTTTTCATATTTTTTGTCATCAAAGTTTTAGTTTCTTATTAGTTTGATTTCTGCCACTAACGTCATTCAAGTGCTACTTGTTGAGTACTCCTCA